TTCTGAACCTATTTTTTTATATTTAATAATCACACCCTCAAAACTTTCTGCATATTTCATTAACTTCAATTTAATTCATTTCTCTTGGGCTGTTAAAGGTAAGGATGAAAATGCCAGGCCAAGAGCCTTCTCTATTTTTTTCCTTCTTCACATGCAAACTCCGTAGAGCCCAGAAGGAACTCAACGTCATATGTTATCGAAAAGGAGGGACCAGCAGTTAGCAGAATGGCTCTGTTGCTGAACTCCCATGTAGCCGACGGCGGTTTGAGTCCCGGACCTGGTGGCTTAAACTCACGCCGGGCGCGTGTGCATGTGTGCCCAAGATCCCAAGAGAAGAATGGAGGAGAAGGGATTATGGTGTGGCCATCCCCCCTGGGGGGTGATTTCTCACTTTCTGTCTCTGTCTTTCTGGCGAGCAAAAAAAAAAAAAGAAAGAAAAAAAAAGAAAAAAGGAAAAGAAAGAGGCCAGCAGGTGGTGCCATGGGTTAGGGCACTGGATTCCCACATGACCAACTGCAGTTCGAGTCCTGGACCTGGAGGCTTACTTTCTTGCTTTTCCTTTCTCTATGTCTCTCTTTGGTCAAATTAAAAAAATAGTAACAAATAAAATTAAATAAACTTTTTAAAAAGGAAAAAGATAAGAAAGGTAGCTTCTTTTGAAAGTCACTGAAGACAAAAGACACTGCTGAGCAAGACACGAGACAGATGCTGTCTGGGCCTGCGAGGGCAGCCAGCAGGAGCAGGTCCCTCCTCAGCACCACCTGCCCCTGGCTCCTCCGGGGAGGCTACACTGCTCCCTGTGCTGGGGAGGCTGCTCCCGAGAGAACGCCACCCGGGGGCTTCCTCTTGCCCCTGCCAGCCCCCCAGCAAGGTCTGGGCCCACCGTCCCCACTCCTGCTGGTGCTCTCCACCTGCACCCGCTTCAGGACATTGCACCTTCTGAGGCCCTGGCCGTTTCTCAGGTGTCCGGGGAAGAGGGACTGTGCTTAGCTCCCTCTGCCTCCCTCCAGCTCTGATGGGATCCAGGGGCTCAAGGACGCGCTTTACAAGACTCCTGAACACCCAGCTGCCCTGAGCTGGGCTCCCCAGCTGCCAGTGAGCACGGGAGCACTTGGGCCGCGAAGGTTCTGAGGCCTGCCCTTCCCCTCTGGGTGCAGCCTCCTAAATCCGAACCCTCAACACGAGCCGTCTCCAAAGCCAAGGGCGAGCGGTACCTCTACAGGCAGTGCAAGCAGTTCGAGTTTTCTTGGTTGTAATGAACGCCCCTAAGCAAGCTGTTCACTGAAGAAGAGGAGCCGGCGCTGCAGGTAGGACAGACGTGATTGCATGCCCGCCATGGGCCTGTGAGGCAGCTGCGGACTCCATAGCTTCTGGGAGGAAAATCCCAAAGAGTGCTGGGACAGGGTACTGCCGGGAGCCTTCTCCTTCTTCTGGGCCTGGGTCCCTCCTCTGGGTCTGGGTCCCCTCTCTGGGCATATGTCCCCGCTCCAGTACAGGGTCGTCGGGCCAAGCCTGCCCCTCACCCCGGGCCTGGGTCCCCTCTCCATCTCTCCATGTGCTCCTTCTCCTCTGTGTGTGTTGGGGTTCCCCTCTTTCACCCTCCGTACCTGCTTCTTCCTGCTCTGACTTGGGGCCATCTGTGCTTTTCCCACCTCTCCGTATCCTGCTCTGGGTTCCTGTCACCTCCACCCAGCCCGTGAAGGTACTGGTCCTGGCGGCTGTATGAAGCGGGGTCTGTCTCCAGAGTAGTCTGCAGCCCCTAGGGCGCTGCAGCTCTTCTGCCCAAGTCCCTCAGGGTAGGAGGGCGGGAGCTTCGTTCTCAGACACACCAGCTGCCATCCTTGGGCACAGCACTCAGCCACTCTGGGCTTCTGGTTCATTCATAAAACGTGAACAGCAGCATCATGAGGACCAGAAAGAGCACAGGCAGGCGGGACCTCGGGGTCCCAGAGCCACCCGGCAGGACAGGCACTGCAAAGGCCTGTTCTAGGCCCACCTGGTCTAACAGATGCTTTGCTCTGCCACAGGGACTCCTGCTGTGAATCCCAAGTGTCCTCATGTTGTTGGCATGAATGCCACCAGGAGCCACTTGGAGAGCTTGCAAAATCACCAGCTGTGGTCAAACTACCATTCGAATCCGGAGATGTCGGCGTGTCAGAAAGTCTGCCCATAAGGTGGGTGGGCGGGCTCAGACAGTCAAGACGAGGGGCCACATACCCTTCCTGGTGGGGCGGAAGACGGCCCGTCATTGACCAGATATCTTTAGGGGGTCTCGCTCAGAGAGAAAACACACAAAACTGCACCAAGGTCTCTGCCCAAGGGCTCTCAACAGAAAAAGGTAGACACTGGAAAGTTTGCTCTTCCTGGAAATGGATTCAAACACCAGCCACACCCCCCCCCCCACACACACACACAGATGTGAGTTAACACTGGAAGACAAAACAGGAAACCTAGTCAAAGCTGCTGGCAGGAGGCTACGAGTCACTGAGTCATCTAGTGCCATCTGTCCCTTGCATCTCATGGCTCCTGATTTCAATTCTTCTATACTCTTCTTTTCTTTGGAGAGGTTTTTGCTATAGGGCGCATGCACTCACCAGAAAGACAGAGACAAACAGAGAGACAGAAAGCAGAAATCAACCTCCAGGGGGGATGGCCACGCCGCAATACCTTCTTCTCCATTCTCCTCTAGGGATCTTGGGCACGCACGCGCCCAGCATGAGTTTAAGCCATCAGGTCCGGGACTTGAACCGTGGTCGACTACATGAAAGTCCAATGACATTGTCATTATGCCAACTGCTGATCCCAATTCTTCTATATTCTAAACACCACGATTTTGTCTTCAGGTTCTACTAAAAACAAGTGTGGAATGGGCACCCCTTGTCTGTCTGCAGGGGATTTTAAAGATTTTAGCATTGCCATAGGATGCGTGTGCTCGACAGAGTGGGAGAGAGAGCTACAGTGAAAAACCTCTCCCCAGGGGGGTGGCTTACCACATTCCCTTCTCCTCCACCCACTTCTTGGGATTTTGAGCGCACACGCACTTGTGCCTGGTGTGATCTTCAAATCGCTGGGTCTGAGACTTGAACCACAAGTTGGCCATGTGGGATCCAGCACCTTAACCTACATCTACCTGCTGGCCCTCCGCAGGGGATTTTTTTCAGATGTAAAACCTGATCTCCAAGTTCTGCTATAAACTGCTGGGGCCTTCCCTGGCCCTGGGACAGTATTCGTTGTGACTCCTTAGCAACACCTGAGCACCAGCGATGGGTTCAGCGAGGTGACACAGGCTCAACCTCGATGAGCAGACATGACAAAAGTCAGCTGAGAGACCCAGTGCCAAAGGCGTGCAGCAGTGAAGGTTTTTACCATCGAGGTGAGTCGTTGGTGTCAGACCCTAACAAAAATCAATCAATCCAGAAGGTTGTGCCGAAGGGGACCATGGGCACATGTGCCTGGCACCAAGACTCAGAAGACTGCTGGCAACACAGCCATGTACAAAGACTGCTGTGACCCTGCACCAGCTCCTACTGTGCAGACCTGCCGAGCACCTGCCTGTCCAGCCTGGGCGACTCTGCCCTTGTTACAACCCCTGGGCCAGAAGGAACTGCTTCCCAAGAACTCATGTAACCCCCATCATTTGACCTTCAAAAACTCTCATATTCTCAGCTGGTGCCATGGTTCAGTGGTTAAGGGAGCCAGATCCCACGTGGCCAACTGGGTGGTTCAAATCCTAGCCCCAGTGGTTTGAAAACCACAACAGGCATATGTGTGTGTATGTGCATATGTGCATGTGTGTGTGTGTGTGTGTGTGTGTGTGTGTGACCTATATCCCAACAGGGTGGGACGGCCCCAAGTCAGAGCCGGGAGAAGGAGTTGTGGTGCAACCATGCTTCGCCAGGGCAAGTGCACATGCCATCTGGCAGGGAAGAAGAGAGAGAAACCTTACGTTCCTGACCGTCCTACACATGCTGACATAGATCCCCAAGCAGTGCTGCTTCTGAATAGACTCGTTACCTTTGGAAGATCTCTGTTAGTTTTTTTAGAACTTTTTTGCCATAGGGTGCATATGCTTTCCGGAGAGAGACAGAGAGAGGGAAAGTGAGAAATCATCCCCCAGGGGGATGGCCATGCCGCAACTCCTCCTCTGTTCTTCTCTCAAGAGTCTGGGCACACATGCGCATAGGCCCGGTGTAATTTTCAAGCTGTCGGGTTCAGAGCTCCAACCATGGTCAGCCATGTGGGGGTCCAGCACCTTCACCACCAAGCTACTCGCTGGTCCCACTTCAGTAGTCTTGTGTTTGTTGGTTGTGAGACAGGATCATGCTGTGTCTCGTGCCTGCCTCGGCCTCCGGAGTAGCCGGGGCCAAAGGAGAGCACCACCACATTCCGCTTTGAGGACGATCAAACCCAGCCTCCCATGTGACCTCGGCCTGCAGTGCCTCCTCAGCGCGGTCTGCCCTTCAGGTTTCAACACGAGCTACATTAAAGAAAAAGTCACCCTAGTTGGAGAAAACCAGAATTTCCTCGTTCCAGACTCTGCCATGCAGATTCTTGCTTAGGGACGCACGTTCTAAACCTACAATGATCAAAGTGCAGAGGCGATGCCTGCCGGGGTGCCAAGAAGCAGTAGAGCCTCGTCATGAAGAACATAAATCAATCAAACTAGCCACGTCCACACTCAAACCCAACTACAGCGGTGCGGTCCTGAGCAGAATAGTTAAACTGTCTCCAGTTTTCTAGAACGGGAGGTTGGCGTGCCACTACTCACAAATGCCTCTGTGAAGACTGAACAGCGAGTGTGTGATGAGTGCGGCGCACCTCCTACTGCTGCTCAGATGTCAATCCCGATTCCGAGCAAGAAGAAAAACAGTTCGTTAAGGACATTTCACACAGAGATGCAGGTGGTTCTTCTGCAAATTCTGAATAACCAAGAGCGAAGGGCAAGTCACAGTTTTGAACCAGGGAAGTGTGGGAGGCTGGCGGCTGTACTTCCAACTTACCCCTAGGACCCCAAAGCGTTCGGCCAGGCTCCAGCCACAGAGAAAGTCAATCTCAAACTTGTGGTTCAGCACCACGATGGCGTTTTCCTTCCCGTACTTGGGGAAGGCCCGCGGGTCGGTGTAGATGGTGCACTCTGTGCCCGACCACCACTCCAGCAGCATCACCAGCTCTGGAACAAACCACAACAGACAGAGGTTTATTTCACGTGTCCTTTCTTCTCCAAGCTGTTCTGGGAACAGAGCTCTGCCTGCCTGGCTGGGAGACAGAGCAGATTCTAGGGGCAACATTCTGGGTCATTCCAGCCTAGACCCCAGTCCCTGAAATGATTTAGAAGCAGAAGGAAAAATGGGAAAGACTTCACAACATTCTCCAGGGAAGGGGAAGAGGAAGCTGTGAGCAGGCATGTGATTCACCTTCCTTAAGTACCCTGGAGAAAAACGCATCGGAAAGGCTGCATCCTTCAGGAATCTGTGCCCTGTGTGCAGAGCTCTGAAAGGCATCAGATGATGAACAGAATTCTTAACGTCTTAGGAGATGCCTAACTGGGACGTGTGCAAACTCCGTCAGTAACACCACAGACCCCACTCCATTTACCGCATGGAGAGCACCGGGCGTGATGGGGCACTGCAGGCCAGCTAAGATGCCCTCCCACACTGAAGGCCAGGTGGTCAGCCAGCTCATACTGTGGTACAGAGGGTATTCGCAGAGCTTTATTCAAAGAAACCCACTTCCACAGTCATGATTAAATGGATTCAAGCAATCCAGAAGCCCATAGACTAGCACGTGAAATTCCTCTCGATGAAATGTGTCACTTGGAATACCTTGGAATGTGTCAGTAGGCTAGCTTGAACTACATTCCCCCGACTTCCCTTTCTTGCATGTTTCTGGCCTGGGCGAACCATAAGGGACGCTTCAGGTGAGTCTGGAAAGGGGAGAGGAGGGAGCACGCCTTGTCTTGTAGGTCACAGGTTCCGATCTGGTGTGAAGCGGCAGGGCTGCTGCAGCTGCTCCTCCCTCACACCCTTCCCCAGCTCGGCTGAGTCCTGGGCTGTGCCTGCCTGTCTGTGGTGAAAGGCCCCACATCCACAGGGCATCCACACCTCGATGCCAGACAAGAACTGATACGAGTTTCGGCCCATTCTCGTGGTGCTCCAGCCCAGGCCTGGAGGTTCCAACCTCCTGATCTCTTCCACTCTCCATCGCTCCCCCTTCCTGACTGCCAGAGACACCAAGCTCCAGATTTCCCTACCGAGAACACCTGACCAGTCTCCACAGTTGAGACCAAGTGCTTGCAGCCAGCTCCTTTAGAGATGGACACATACCCCTCGGGCGCCACTCTTCTGGTTGGGCCCTGACTGAGACAATTCTTTTTCACCTCCTCCTACCCCACTCCCCCACCCTAGGGTTAGCCATTATAAACACTTCGGTAGGTAGACTTCTAGTTCTTTCCC